TTTCTTAACAAAACATTATAATATTCAAGACAAACTTTTATAGACTCGTGTGAACATGATGTGTATAAGGATAGAAAGTAATAAGTATATCCTCCTCCTGCACACTTGTAGAAGAATCCATCCTCTTTCTTCTCTTTTCACCCTCTTCTTTTGCTTGGTTTACCTTTAGAAAATATTGCTCACAAAACTTGTAGCTCAAGACATGAAGAACCCTTTTGGTAACGATGAAATTGACTGGATCGATTGATTTTTAAAATTTTATCAAATTCTGATCAAATTATCTATAGGAAGAAATAATTTTAACATCCCAAACTTTTAAGGGGTGTGAAGTGAGGATGTTTTTATTTGTTTACCCTATACACACACATGTGCTCACCTTCTTTCATTTTACGAGCCCTGCATTTTTTTCAAGTGAAAGAGGTTAACAAAATCAATAATAAACATGGTCACCTTATTAGATTGATATACAATGATATGATGAGGTCTCATGTTTATTCAATTAGAAGTTGCATATTACCTTCAAGTCAAGGCTGCCTGTAGAGGATAAACAAGTCTTCCTTCTTTAGAGTCATTGACAACACAGGCTTGCAGCTTGGCGTAAAGGGATATTTCAATTTTAGGACTCAAAGTTCAACCACAAAAGGGATGGATAGTTAGGGGGTGTTTGGATGTGATCCTTAAAACTGTTTCTGCTCCCTGAAGTGTTTAGGTGAAAGTGCAGAAGTGATTCTGAAGCTCTAATTTACTCCTAGAATCAGTTTTTTAGAAGCTGGGGGTGACCAGCTTCTGAAAACTGATTCTGATTTTGCTTCTGCTTTTAAAAAAGAAGCAGAATCAGAATCAGTTCCAAACACCCCCTTAATACTTCTTGTACAGTTTTTGTGTGAATAATAAAACGTCTCCTTTGCAGACATCACATAGAAGAAGATTCAATGCAAAAAGGAAACAGATTAGATAAAAATGAATTGGAAGAATTGCACGTATACTGCTTTACCCTTTTATGTCGTGTTTGAAACAGCTTTTCCCCAATGTTTAATGGTATAATGATGGAAGATATTAGTTTGACTTCAAAGGCTAGGGGTTATGCCCATGTGATTCCCGTTTCTGATCTGGTTTGAGATTGAAAACAGTCCAAAAGAAAACATCCTTAAACTATCAAACTCTATCATAAACAAGTTAACTAAAAGCAATTGTACAAGTTGACGGAGAAATGGTCCGAATATACACATATAATCACATATGTACAACTCCTATCCTATATCTAATATCTAATGGTACTTCCACACATAGCATCAAAGGTACACCAACATTTTTTGGTACCCATTATACTCTTACTTCTATTCATGTTTATATGATAAAATTGTAGGATTATAACTGTTTTTCTATATAATTTTTCCTACATAATTATTTCCTTAAATTAATCTATAATTTTTTCTATATAAATATTTCCTTAATCTATAACTATTTTTCTATATAAATATATTTTTCTATAACTGTTTTTCTATATAAATATATTTTAAACGTGACTTTATCCAAGCAATTCAGCCGCTTCAGTTAGCATTTCTTGAATTTCAGTGTATTCAACCTACTAAACCAATTTGATTGTTACCCAACGAGATTTAAATTTATTAAAAAAAATAGTGTAGTCAGTCTTTTATTCCTATTTCTTGCTTGAGAAAGAGATGAAATTAAAAAAGGCATGCATACTTATAAAAGCTTCATTACATAGCATATAATGATGCACCATTCTGATATATAAGGTGCATATTGTACTGCAAAGTGTTTAACACAATAGTTAGATTGATGAACGTATAGAAATATTGGTCCCGTCCTGCACCTTAAGGCTTAAGGTGTTATATTACGTATGACATGCTACATACTACATTACTACGTACAACAAAATCATATATACGTAATATAAAGTGACAATAATACTAGAATCCATAGAGGAATTTTTTTAATTGAAGAGAAGCCATTATATGTAATTTTGTCTAGTAACAGCTATATTCAAACCGCTAATTAACCAAACATGTTTTAAACTATCCGCTTATCTAATCAGCCGGTCAAAATGCCAAATCAATCCGCCAGTCAAAACCGCTGATAAACCCGCTAACCGCTAATCGCTGTTTACCAAACAAGGCCATTATGCATACACATTGTTGGAAAAAGTGTGTTAAAATTGCATTAAATGGTCATTTTGGGGCAATTTTTTGAGTGGGGTCCACTTCCGATTTGGGTCGGATCAAAGTAGTTTCGAATTTCCTTGATTAGGGCTACAATTCGATATATGGTACGCTCAAAACGGATAACGGGTGAATGAGAAATCGCTTTTCAAAGTTTACCCGTTGGAATGGAGAAAACTAGGAAAAGGTGGGTTTTAGTGTGGGTTTTTCCCACACCGAAAATCACAAGGGAATTTGAACCCCCTTTATAAAGGGAACCCCCCCCCCCCTAAGGAGTTAAGCTTCCTAAAGGGAAAGGCTCTCTCACGCGCTCAGGGGGGTGCGAATCAAATCCTGAAACCGAAGAACAAAAAGTGCGACTTGCGTGTGCGGGCGACCTGCACACATGAATGCCGTCTGAAAATCTATCTTCTAAAGATAACGTTAATTTTTGTTCTTCTGGTGCGTTCCTATTTTATTTTTGCTCCATGCTGAACTGGAACGTTGCAGCATAAATGCCCAACGTCTTTGTACCTTAATGCAACGGGTTTGGACAGCTTGCTTGGAGAATCAATGCCAGCATGCTGCCATTGAAGTCCCAACGTTCATATGAACGTTTTGGGCTGTTTATTGGCTGGAATCAATGCCCAACGTTTAGGACATTAATGTCCAGCGTTCACAAGCCTTAAACAGCCATTAACACACCATAATCCGCCCCTATAAAAGGTTAGCAGGTACTTTGCAAACTACACACGTTCATACACTTCGTACACATATTTTCAGAGCTAAAACCACCTCTAGCATTCCATAAAAACTCTTCTGTGTTCTGAGCTTTGTTCACGTTCGTTGGAACTTTAGTTTGAGTGCTAAACTAGTGTTCGAAGTCATCGTATCCTGGGAAACGATCATTGCAACGCTCCTAGCACCCCGGGAGGCAACGAATACATTTTAAGGAAATCGTGCGTAGCACGAGATTTGGCTTATTCTGCTTCATCTCATTTCTTGTTTTTTCTTTAAGTCATTTTATTTAATTAATTTTTATTAATTAATTTTCTTTGTTTTTCGAAACACACCCAAACAAATATATTGAAATATGCATTTGAGTGTGATCCAAAGTGCATATTGAATGAAAAATGGGTGATAGTAGATTGTCTGACAATGAATCAAACATGTATACTGTACAAAAGCTAAAATACAATGAACAAAAGGTAAAATTCGACTCTTTTTTCAAATTTATTTACAATATACTACATACCAATACATAGAATGAAGAAGGTAACAAAACAACATAACTAAAGAACTATATTGATCTTTCCCATAAAAAGAAGAACTATATTGATCTTATGAAATCATGTTTGTTCAAGCGGCAATTCTTGCTATCATGATGTACATTGCACGACTAACAGAGCTTTTTGGGATGTTTTGATTCTTCCATATACACCTTCTTTGAACAGCTGATCCTCATACCATAATCTTTATTTCTGGCAAATGAGTAACCACATATATAGAAAAAATGTGAGAGGATGATTTAGGAAATTAAACACATCATTCTTTTCTTGTGGCAATTTCACTAGAACACAATTCGGATGACAATTGTGCTACTAAACATATTGATTTTCACTAAATAAATGCAACCTACATCAGCCATAAATGCATTACATCTACAGAGCATGCAAACAATGAAAAAAACACCTAAATAAATATAGACAGGTTAAAATTATTTTGAAATAGTAACAAAATAGCAGTTTGAACAAATTCATGATATGTACTACATGTATTAAAAAATTACTTAAATGGTAGTCAAATCAAAATAAAGCTACTGTGTATTACTAGACATACATGTTGAAACTTCAAAAAGTTTATGGTGAAAAGAGACACAAGATCATAACCAATTTAAGCTTACGTTGAGATATACAAATTAATTAGTTTTACTATCACATGAACTAATCTGGTCATTAAAAAGCACTACAGAGCACTGTAAACATAATACATTGTTACTAAATGCACCATTGTTCGAATATCATTGCATAGTACATAAAAATATGCCGACCAGAAAAATTCACATATACGAAGATGGAGTGTGGCTAATATCATGATTTACAGAACACCAAATTCATAAATCAAATAGGTAACGATATATGAAAGGGAAGAAACACAACATCATCAACATTGACTGGTGGAAAGCCATGCCAGAGTATCAACGTTTTAGGATTGTTAAATAAATAAATAAAACGATGAATGAATACCTGATTCCATGAGACTCTGTAACACCGTCCCCAAATATATTTACTTCTATGTAAATAATGTATTGAACCTTATTAAAGGATTAATGAATTTACGAAGTTGTAAATTTTTGTTATTTTCTTTCGCGTGAATAGTAAATTGCACGTGGGGCCCACATCGGGAGCGGGGACCACCCAACATTCCCGAGACCACATATTTTATTCATCTTGGTCAAGATAATATTTATATGGTGGTGGATATTTTACTTGGGTCGTGGAAAGGCCCTGTGTTGGCCGATTGGGCAAAAGAAGCCCAAATGCCGGTACCGACAATTTAACGGATAACAGCCCGAAAATGAATTTCGGAGACTTCTAAATTAATGTTTTGGAATACATATTATTTCAAAGGGCCATTACGATTGAGAACACATAATATATTTTATTGGACCCGATAAAATAAAATATATTTAAAACAGTCCGAAAAATACAATTTTCGGGACCGATTGTACACATCGGGACACAAAGGGATGACCTCCCACATGAGTGGGGGCCACCCCACGTTTTTTTGTGCTCAATTAGACAAAGGGGAGCTGGATATGATAAAGGAAGGTGTGGAGGAGGAGGCTTTGGCATCAAAGTACAAGGATGACCCCTCACCCATCACACATTTTGTCATTTGAGACAAAATAAACCACTCCCTCTCACCCCTATCACCAAGCTCGACCAAGACCTCAAGAAAAGAAGAGGAAAAGCTCTCAAAACCACCTCCATTGTTGCAGCACGAGCTCAAGAGAAATTGGTCCAAGGAAGGAGGTTTGAGAAGGAAAAAGTTAGGAAAAGTGTGAATAATTAAGGTAATGACCTTGTTATAACTTCTCCTTCATTCTTCTTTTACCATATGAGGTATATATCATGTAGACAACCTTTAGTATGGTTCCATATGTCACAAGTATGGATTCATGGGTTGAAAGGTGGCTCTACGTCCAAGAACGGACTTAGAAGCCAAAAACGACCGGTTCACCGGAAAATAACCTTTTATAGGTTATTTGTATTGATTAAGGTTTTATGATGTTAAAACCTTGTTAGGAACTTGTGAAAGGTATTTCAAGTGATTTCACAAAGTTGGAAAAGTCGCCGGAGTTGTCGCCGGAGTTGACCAAAAGTCACCGGAGTTTCACCGGAGTTCAACCAAGAAGGGTAGAACTTCTTAACGCTAGTTCAAGGTGAGTGGACGGCTTAATATCTTATAACTTTTGGGTTAATTATAAGATTACCTAAATAAATGTTATATGAATTCATAATGATGTTTAAAAGATATTTAAACATGTGATTAGCCAATAGGGTTAAGTTTGTATGAAAGAAATAGATTGTTTATGCATAGAATATGATATGAAGAATTATATAGAATGCATATTTGCTTGAAGTGTATTAGAAGCACAAATGAATATTTTAACTTAATTATGTGATGATTAAGTTGATTTGTACAAGGTTTGTAATGGCGGTCAACGACCACGTTGACCGGTGGATAATGGATTAATTAATACCGGTCGATATTAATTAATTGTACATTTACATAATTGCATGGCTTTGCATGGAATGTGATACATAAGTTTTATGTATTGAATTAGTTATGAATGACTAAATATGATATAGACCCTATCTAGCGTGATATGTGGTAAGTCATAGGTCGGGTGGAGTACCCAAGGATCGGGCGGTTATCCTCAAAACTCGGTTATATAGGGTGGAGTACCCAAGGATCGGGCGGTTATCCTCAAAAACTCGGTTATATAGGGTGGAGTACCCAAGGATCGGGCGGTTATCCTCAAAACTCGGTTATATAGGGTGGAGTACCCAAGGATCGGGCGGTTATCCTCAAAACTCAATTATAGGGTGGAGTACCCAAGGATCGGGCGTGTATCCTCAAAACTCATAGATTACATTTAATGATCTAGGACCGGGCGGTGTCCTTATGATAATTTATTTGACCAAGGAGGAGTTCTATACACTCATAGGTATATGGGTGGGTTGGGATTTAAGTCAAGGATATTGACTACTATTATTTTCCCAAATAAACAATGACCTACGGGTCGGGTATTTCCAAGTGTATGTATACTAATATGTATTTCAAACTTGGGGGAAGGACTATACGTATATGTATCATCCTATGTTTGGGTCTTATACTTGAAACGCTAGTTATTCTATATTTAGCCTGCTACTCGCTCGGTACTTGTACTGACCCCTTCGGGGGGCCCCACCATTTTCAGGTTGAAGCTAGGGCTTGCTACCTGCACCTTTCTACGGGTGACATCAATCAAGGAAGACGTGGTTCGTGCTTCCTCATTTTATTTCAAATTACCAAACATTGCTCATGGATATTTTTATTGTCATAAACTATTCTTTTGGGGCTTGCATGCCCATGATATTGGCCGGTTGTGGCTTATGACTTACCGTTGAATATTTCCGCTATTCATTGGTTTAAATGTGATGTTGTTATGTATGTTTACCACTGAGTATGGATGGATTATTTTCTCGAACGCCTTGTGTAATCAAGTGAGGTTGACTCGCGGGTGACGTCACTTGATTATGCGGCGGTTGTACACGCGCTTGGATTGCGGTCTGGGGCGTGACAATTAAGTGGTATCAGAGCCATCTCAGTTCTAAACTATATAATCAACCTCTCACAACAGATTTTACAAAAGAGTTTTTACCGAAAACCATGAGCATTGTATTTTGACGTTTATAGGACTATTGGTGCTTAAGTTGCAAGGCCTCTAATTGTTAAGACGGTACCCTTAACAATTGGTATGGGGGTGACTTGGGCCAATATGTGTCTGTAACGTTTTTCCGTCGATTGACATTTATAGGAGTCTAATGACTCATCCATATTTCTTTCAGAAATGGAGGGCAGGCGAATGCGGACCAGGAACAATCCGAGGGGGCAGGCGCCGGTAACATCCCAAAGGGGAAGTCGGGCTGCATCTCGGGGTTCAAGAGGAGGCCGTGGAGGCCGTGGAAGCCGTGGAGGTCATCAAGCTCAAACTGTGAGTGATGGCCATGTAAGCTCGGTGTATGAAACCAACACCGAGGATTATGACTCTACGTATGTTCCTGAGACAGAGCATGAGGAGACCCCATATGATGGGGGTGACACATACACCGATGAGGACAATGATGAAAGTGATGCCCGCTTCGCCCAAATGGGTGAATTACTTGAGTGGTATCAAAAGGAGAAACTGAGGAGAGACCTTAGGCGCCAAGCGAGGCGTGGCTCTCGTGGTGGTTCGGGTCAAGGGAGCCGGGGAGCTTCCGTGGCCACCCCAGCGGCATCACAAGGTGGGCGTGAAGGAGGTTTTGTTGTGAGAATCTCCAAGTACCTCAAGGAGGCTAGGGCCTTGGGGTGTAGGTCCTTTGACGGCACCGGTGACATTACCGTTGCCGCCGATTGGATTAAGAAGGTGAAGGATGCGTCAAGAGACATGCAAATCACACCGGACGTGAAGTTGACTGTCGCTTCACGGCTACTTGAAGGGATAGCCTCTACGTGGTGGGAGAGCGTGGAAGGGAAGTACCATGGGGAAATAACATGGGCGGACTTTGAGCTAGAGTTCTATGCTCAATACTACTCCGAGTACGAGGTGAATGTGAAACGGAGAGAGTACACTAACCTCAAACAGAAAGATGGCGGCACGGTTAAGCAGCTGGAACAAGAGTTTAGAACCTTGGCGAGGTTCTTGCCAGAGTACGCGGTTGATGAGAACCGCATGACGGAGCACTTCTGGGATGCATTACTCTTGGATATCCGTGACCGAGCTACGTACTCTCGCCACATGTCATTTAGCGAGGTGGTGGAACAGGGTCTTCTTGGAGAGGCCCAGTGGAATGAGAGGAAAGCAAGGGACGCCGAAGAGGCGAAGAAGAGGAAGTGGAATAATTCGGGGCCACCCGATCATTCTCGAAGGAACAACCACGGGGGTGGTGGTGGTGGCGGTGGTTCATTCAAAACGCCGGCTCCACCGGCAAAGAAGAATAGGGATGCGAGGTGGCACGGACCTAGGCCACAGAACTCGGGGCCACCTAGATGTCCCAATTGCTCAAAACAACACTTTGGGAAGTGTAATGAACCACCGAGGTGTTTTAAGTGCGGGAATGCGGGCCATATGAAGGCCAATTGCCCTCAATTGATGCAAGAGAGTGCCTCGGGAGCCGGGGGAGGGACCATGACGGGAAGAAACCGTGCGGGACCGTCAAACGGCGGTACTGGAAGAGGCGGTGCATCCACAAGCCATGCCGCATCTGTCAACCAAGGTGGGACCCAAGCACGAGTCTACGCGATGACCGAGGCGGATGCGCGAGCAAACCCGGACTCCGTTGCAGGAACATTAAAGATCAATGGTAGGTGTGCGAGGATCCTCATCGATACCGGGGCACAACGCTCATTTGTGAGCGAGGCGTTCGCCGAGGGCCTTGACGTGCCATTGACACCTATGACGCAAACGTTGCTAGTCTCCACACCGTTAGGAGACGATGTGGAGAGAAATCATTACTATCCATCATGTGAGGTGGAAGTGACGGGTCAACCCTTGACTTGTGATTTTGTACCTCTAAGCATGTTGGAGTTCGACGCAATCCTAGGAATGGATTGGCTCGAGAGACACCATGCTCGAGTAGATTGCTACACCAAGGTGTTGGAGCTCGAGGATGATCAAGGAAACACGGTATGTTTCGAGGGAGATCGAGGAAAATCCAATGCTTGCATCATATCCGTAATGAGAGCACGGAAGATGATGAGGAAGGGGTGCCACACATACCTTGCTTACGTGATGGATGATACGAAGAAAGAAGTCGACATCAAGGATGTTCGAGTCGTGTGCAAGTACCCCGGACGTCTTTCCAAAGGACCTACCGGGGCTTCCACCCGATAGAGAGATTGAATTTGTAATCGAAGTGGAGCCGGGAACCAAACCCATTTCGATTCCTCCTTATCGAATGGCACCGGCCGAACTTCAAGAGTTGAAGGTCCAACTACAAGAGCTACTGGACAACGGGTTCATCAGACCCAGTCATTCACCGTGGGGAGCACCCGTACTCTTCGTAAAGAAGAAAGATGGTACGCTAAGAATGTGTATCGACTACCGACAGTTGAACAAGGTCACAATCAAGAACAGGTATCCTTTACCTAGGATTGATGACTTGTTTGATCAACTTCGAGGGGCCATAGTATTCTCGAAGATTGACTTGAGATCGGGGTATCATCAGTTGAAGATCAAGGAGAGTGACATACCTAAGAGTGCATTTCGCACTAGATATGGTCACTACGAGTTTCTTGTGATGTCATTTGGTTTAACCAATGCACCGGCAGCATTCATGGACTTGATGAACCGGGTGTTTAGTGAATACTTAGATCAATTTGTGATAGTATTCATTGATGATATCTTGATATACTCCAAGAGTGAGGAGGAGCACGAACATCATTTGAGGCTTATACTTGATCGGCTAAGGGAAAAGCAACTCTTTGCCAAGTTCTCTAAATGCGAATTTTGGCTCAAGGAGATTGGTTTTCTCGGTCACGTCATATCCGGTTCGGGCGTAGCTGTGGATAACGCCAAGATAAAGGCGATCATGGATTGGGAGAGACCCAGGAATGTGAAGGAGATACGTAGTTTCCTTGGCTTAGCAGGATACTATCGTAAATTTGTGGAAAAATTCTCCGTATTGGCGTCCCCATTAACGAAGCTCACAAAGAAAGGGGCCAAGTTCATATGGGACGACAAATGTGAGAAGGGGTTCCTTGAATTGAAGAAACGACTTACCGAAGCACCAGTCCTTGCCCTACCCATACAGGGGATAGGGTATGACATTTATAGCGACGCTAGCATCCAAGGGCTTGGGTGTGTACTGATGCAAAACGGTAAGGTGATTGCCTATGCTTCTAGGCAATTGAGGAAACACGAGGTGAACTACCCTACTCACGATCTAGAGTTGGGGGCGGTAGTGTTTGCATTGAAGATTTGGAGGCATTATCTCTACGGGGAGACGTGTCACATTTATACTGATCATAAGAGCCTGAAGTATGTATTCACTCAGAAAGAGTTGAATATGAGGCAGAGGAGATGGATGGAGTTGATCAAGGACTATGACTTGATCATCGACTATCATCCCGGAAAGGCCAATGTAGTGGCCGACGCACTGAGCAGGAAGAGTACGTCGGGGACGCTACTCACATGTCTACAGGCATTGAGGGCACACGTGGAGGTATCCACGAGCGGGGCGCTCATTGCTAGGTTTGAGGTCAGACCTACATTGCTGGGTGAGATCAGTAGATGTCAGGCCATTGACGAGGAGTGTCAGAAGATTCGTGAACGAATCATTGAGGGGCCTGTTGAGAACTTTCGGGTACGTGACGATGGTCTATTATTGTTTAAGGATCGTGTGTGCATACCAAAGAATGAAGACCTCCAGAAGTCTATACTCGAGGAGGCTCATTCTTCAGCCTATGCTATGCATCCAGGAGGTACTAAGATGTACCGGGACCTGAAGGAAAGTTACTGGTGGTCGGGTATGAAGAGAGACATCGCCGAGTATGTGAGTCGATGCCTTACTTGCCAGCAAGTTAAGGCAGAACATCAGCACCCGGCAGGGCTTTTGCAGCCACTCACCATCCCAGAGTGGAAGTGGGAGCACGTGACCATGGACTTCGTGGTGGGGCTACCACGAACAGTGAACAACTATGATGCAGTTTGGGTAGTGGTTGATAGACTCACCAAGAGTGCACACTTTTTGCCTATCAACATTACTTATCCTCTTGAAAGACTGGCCAAGCTCTACACGGAGGAGATTGTGAGATTACATGGAGTCCCGATATCCATTGTCTCGGATAGGGACCCACGATTCACATCTCGATTTTGGCCGAAGTTTCAAGCATCTTTGGGGACTAAACTGAAGTTTAGCACAGCTTTTCACCCACAGACGGATGGACAGTCCGAGCGGGTGATACAGATTTTGGAAGACATGCTTAGGGCATGTGCTTTGGAGTTCCAAGGAAGTTGGGACAAGCATTTGGCCCTAGTAGAGTTTGCCTATAACAACAGTTATCAGGCAAGTATCGGCATGCCCCCATATGAGGCATTGTATGGGAGGAAGTGCAGAACACCGTTGTGTTGGGACGAGGTTGGCGAGGCCAAACTCGAAGGGATAGAGCTGGTTGAGATCACCAAGGCCAAGGTAAGGATCATTCGGGATAGACTAAAAGCTGCTCAGGACCGGCAGAAGAGTTATGCTGATAAACGGCGGAGACCGTTGGAGTTCGAAGTCGGTGATGAGGTCTTCCTAAGAATTTCTCCTTGGAAGGGCATCATTCGATTTGTATCGAGGGGAAAGCTTAACCCCCGATACATCGGCCCATTTGAAATCCTTGAAAGGATAGGGGCCGTGGCTTACCGTCTCAAGTTGACACCGGAACTTGAGAAGATACATGACGTGTTTCATGTATCGATGCTCAAGAAGTACATACGAGACCCATCTCATATTCTTGAGAAACCACCGGTAGAGATCCGTGAGGACTTGCAATATGCGGTGGAACCAATGAAGATTGTTGGCCAACAAGTGAAGAAGCTGAGGAATAAGGAAATTCCTATGGTAAAGGTTCTTTGGAGGAGTGATCGAGTCGAAGAAGAAACTTGGGAGACCGAGGTCTCAATGAGGGAGCAATACCCATTTCTCTTCGATTAAGATACTTGGATTTCGGGGACGAAATCCCAATTAAGGGGGGGTGAACTTGTAACACCGTCCCCAAATATATTTACTTCTATGTAAATAATGTATTGAACCTTATTAAAGGATTAATGAATTTACGAAGTTGTAAATTTTTGTTATTTTCTTTCGCGTGAATAGTAAATTGCACGTGGGGCCCACATCGGGAGCGGGGACCACCCAACATTCCCGAGACCACATATTTTATTCATCTTGGTCAAGATAATATTTATATGGTGGTGGATATTTTACTTGGGTCGTGGAAAGGCCCTGTGTTGGCCGATTGGGCAAAAGAAGCCCAAATGCCGGTACCGACAATTTAACGGATAACAGCCCGAAAATGAATTTCGGAGACTTCTAAATTAATGTTTTGGAATACATATTATTTCAAAGGGCCATTACGATTGAGAACACATAATATATTTTATTGGACCCGATAAAATAAAATATATTTAAAACAGTCCGAAAAATACAATTTTCGGGACCGATTGTACACATCGGGACACAAAGGGATGACCTCCCACATGAGTGGGGGCCACCCCACGTTTTTTTGTGCTCAATTAGACAAAGGGGAGCTGGATATGATAAAGGAAGGTGTGGAGGAGGAGGCTTTGGCATCAAAGTACAAGGATGACCCCTCACCCATCACACATTTTGTCATTTGAGACAAAATAAACCACTCCCTCTCACCCCTATCACCAAGCTCGACCAAGACCTCAAGAAAAGAAGAGGAAAAGCTCTCAAAACCACCTCCATTGTTGCAGCACGAGCTCAAGAGAAATTGGTCCAAGGAAGGAGGTTTGAGAAGGAAAAAGTTAGGAAAAGTGTGAATAATTAAGGTAATGACCTTGTTATAACTTCTCCTTCATTCTTCTTTTACCATATGAGGTATATATCATGTAGACAACCTTTAGTATGGTTCCATATGTCACAAGTATGGATTCATGGG